TTTTTTTTGCAACGATATCTTTGTGTCTCCAGCTTTAAAAAGGTGATTATATCTTTCTATTTTTGATACTCTCTAGATATTCACGATCTCTGAAATCGGGAAACGGGAAGCTCTCTGACCTTGAGAAAAAGCTCAAAGTCAGCTCTTCGGCACAATTCCAAAGCATCAAACGGGCATGTGTGCTTCCACTTGATTATTCTTCTCCTCGAGATCATTTCACAATGCTAGTTTGACTTTTCCCAAAAAGTGCCGTGCCTTGCACCTTTTCATCATCCTTCAAAACGAGAAATCTGATGATCTATATAATATCGAAGTCGGTCTCCTCGATCTTTTTATCTTTCGCTTCCTCCCACTATAAAGGAGAAATATCAGAAGATGACTACGATGCTCTTTGTTCAGCCGGCTGAGAAGTGCAGAAGATCTGTCAGTTGACCAACTTCGAAGGGTAGCCTCTAGGAAGCGGAGAGCGATGAGATACGCTCGCCTGAGCAAAGGGCTGGATAAGAATCATGCAAGACGTGGAGGCCGATATGCTTCAAGTGCCTCCTCGCCTTCCTCTCCCTCACTTGCTTGCCCATTTTTACTGAAAAGGAAACAAAAAGTTCGATTCTTCTGACTCTCCAAACACGATTCAAGACGAGGATGTATTAGTGGCCGACCTCATCGCTGCCCACAGCGTCCGCTTGGCATACGAGACCTGGTGCTGGGCAACCTGTGCGCCAACCTGGTTATTGTCTGGAATATCGTGCAGAGAGCCAACCGCCCCAAAATCGGCCTCTGCCTTGACGCCTTCCAGTGTGTGAATCAAGTCACCACTCCCTCCTCGAAGAGTATTCCACAAAAGCTGCATATACAATTATATATACTGAGAGACCCATCTCGCCAGGACCGTCGCCGGCGAGTATGGCGACAGGTGCACCAACTCGGGGATCGCACCTGGCACCTCTTGAAAAGATTTCCCTCGCCCACGCACACTCTCTTTGTCCTGCTCAGCTCTACAGTCCTCGCCGACAAGATCTACGTGCACACTCCTTGCCCTGCCCACTCGGCCCATCATCAAACTCCCTCACGCCAAACCAGCACCACCCTCTAGTCTTCAGCAGAGCCTTAGCAAACTGCTCGCACTGCTTCGTCAGGAAGCCTTCGTTATACAAGTACGGGCGGTGATCGTGGCTCCATCGCCCCCTGGGTCTCAGTCCATCGTTCACTCGTCTCGGAACAGGACGGGCGGTTTGTACACATCGCTTATCTACTGTCGGGGTGCGAAGGAGAGTCTGGAGAGTATGCAGGATGGGTGTGCTAAAGCGAGTGATTAGGTAAGAGGAGAGGTCGAGGCTGAAGTTGCAGGGAGGAAGGCGCTATACAATATTGACCTTGTGTATTTAAAAGCGAATATTTCCGAAAGTATTTTATTTCACCACGGGGATGCGGGACAATAGAGCCCGCGACTGCATTACTGGCCTCTCAACTACTGATAGCTGAGCTTGAATGATGTCGCAAGTTTCCAAATCGGTTTGCCTGCGCTTGTAGATATGTGCCACACTATGTGCCTGGAATAATTGGAAGAAAAACGAAGCCAGAGGAACAAATTAACTTTGCTTTGCTATGCTAAGCGAGGTGCCAACAAGGAAGTCGAAGGGACGCGATATGGACGGGGTCCCTAGGTGAAGCGGGAGAGAGTGAAGGAGGCGTGGGGTTTGGATTAGAGTCTTCAGGATTGGTATATTCAGAAGGGTTATGACTGATTCTGTCTTGCGAAGAGATAAGGGATATTGTTGACTCGATGGCCTTGCTCGTCCCAAGCAGTATTGTGAGCAGCAATATCGTGATTTTATCTCCTTCTCGTTAAAAACAAAACAAAACAAAACAAAGATTCTTCGGGGGTCTGGGTCCGGTCAGGGTTGTCGTCCATGTGACCATTGACCAATAGTGAATAGCCGACACGCAGTAGTGGAGTCAATCCAGACGCCGATAGCCGACAATTGCCAATCCGGGCTGCTGAGTCGATGCCTTCAAAAGCCGCCGGCGCCGTGCCCTACGATCCACTTCTCCACGTTCCCCCAAAACCCAATTTACGTCCGGTATAACTATGGCCGAGACACTCATCATTTCTGCACATTCAATTCCCTTTCGTTTTCCACGATAGACCCAATATATCGTCAATATGGCAAAGACTTTCGATGCTGCCGAAGGTAAGTAAATACGTAGAATTCTCATGCGATCATTTACTAATTATCTCTATCAGTCGCAAAGCACAATACCCCGGAATCCTGCTGGGTGAGTCTGTACGGCGATGTCTGGGATATCACGGAATTTCTCCCCAACCATCCGGGCGGGTCCAAGATAATCCTCAAGCTGGCCGGTGGCGATGCAACAGAAGAATACGACCCAATCCATCCCCCGGGGACGTTGGAAGAAAACCTCAAGCCAGAAGCGAAGCTGGGGAAGATTGATCCCCAAACGCTACCAAAGCCCGAAGCAGACACTATAGAGAAGGAGCAAGAACAGGAGGGCCCGCCGGATATGCAAAGTATATTCAACTTGGACGAAATGGAGCAGGTGGCTACCAAGCAGATGTCCAAGAAGTGTTGGGCCTATTACTATTCTGCTGCGGACGACTTGATATCGAAGAGCTTCAACAACTTGGTCTACAAGCAAATACTGCTCCGGCCGAGGGTTTTCGTTGACTGTACGAGATGTGATACTTCTACTTCTCTGCTGGGACACAATGTTGGAATACCGTTATTTGTTTCACCGGCCGCGATGGCACGACTGGCACACCCTGCAGGTGAGCGGGGGATTGCTCAGGGTATCAGCCAGTTTGGGGCTCTGCAGATTATTTCCAACAACGCATCTCAGACGCCGGAGCAAATCGTGGAAGGGTCACTGCCAGGCCAAATCTTTGGCTGGCAGTTATACGTTCAGAACGACCGGAAGAAGAGCGAGGATATGCTTGCTCGGATAAACAAGATGTCGGATAAGATCAAGTTCGTCTGCTTGACACTGGACGCTCCGGTTCCAGGCAAGAGAGAAGATGACGAGAGGGGAAGTCTAGTCGGGGCCTCCCTGCCTGTTTCCTCTGGTGTCAAGACCGCTGACGAGCCTAGAAGGCCTGGCGGAGGTGGTGTTGGACAACAATTATTTTTTGGCACGGCTGCAGATTTGACTTGGAAGCCAACCTTGTCCTGGCTAGCAAAACACACTACATTACCGATTGTACTGAAGGGTCTGCAGACACACGAGGATGCGTATCTGGCTGCTCAATATGCTCCGCAAGTCAAGGCTATCATTCTATCGAACCACGGCGGCCGTGCACTTGATACTGCTCCACCTGCTGTACACACCTTGCTAGAGATCCGAAAATACTGCCCTGAAGTATTTAGTAGAGTCGAGGTATGGGTCGACGGCGGTATCAAGAGAGGTACCGATGTCGTCAAAGCTCTCTGCCTTGGTGCCAAGGCAGTAGGTGTGGGCCGAGCTGCGTTGTACGGTCTTGGAGCAGGTGGCGCTGAGGGTGTTGAGAGGACCTTTGAGAGTAAGAATCCACCCATCTGGTTTTCGTCAAATGCTCACCCTTCTTTAGTCCTCAAAGCCGAGACGGAAACATGTATGAGACTTCTGGGTGTTGAGAGAGTGAGCGATTTGGGCGCAAAGAACGCAAGTTATCTACCATTCCCCTTTTATCCAGTGTCTGACTGTCGATAGATTAATCCACGGGCGGTCGAGCGCGACATATATGATGGGCATGCAGGGCTAGAAAAGCTCGGTCTTTGGGTCAAAGCTAACTTGTAGATCCGCGAAAATATAAGTTTAAGTATTTACCAGATTCGGAGTGCGATTGGTCTTGATTTAGGTCCTCGATTTTGTACTCCCATTGTGTAAATCTTTGCTATCGTTTCTCCCGAGCCAATAACTGGATGTCGAAAATGTCGATCATACGACCCTCGCCTCGCTTAACTTCAACAGCCAAATAAACAAAATAAGTCAACCGCGACCTTCATTCACTATTCCTGAGCAGAATATGACTCTTGCCCCAAGATGGCACCAAATAGGGCCGCCGGGTGGAGGCGGGAACAAGGGTGGATGCCACAAATCGGACGAGATGGATTGAAAATGAAGGCTTACATGTCTATCATGCTAGGGATGTCATTGAAACTCCCTAAAGACCCAGAATTATATGTTCTTGTTGTATAAATCCGTCCATATTGTTCTTGGCAATTCAAAATGAGCGTCCAGATAATTTCCGCTCGCTTAACTGTTTAAGCCAAATAAACAACGAAGGCAAATCACAACATTCACCCACTTTATACTTTTGGGAAATATGATTTTGCCTCATTACGGTATCACGCAAACATGTCGGTGCCATAAGTGAATCAAGATGAATTCATTCTGGCATTGATTGACAACATCGAGCGAGAGCATTCACAACCTCCATTTAGCCTGTTGCCGTGATTCATTGATATCCTTCCCCTTCCCACCTATTCAGGCTCCGAATTCAATAATCTGCCGATCTATAAGAGGACGATCTCGTCTCCCACAGACCAGTTGTCTCTACATCACAACAACACATCCATTCCCAATACAACTTTGCCTCATCACTAGTGTCAAGTCGTTGATAGACGTCCGTTCTAATTACAGAACACGGTCATTATGGCGGAAACACCAGTCACTACCACTGACTTGACAGCCGAGGCCTTGCCGGTCCGAGACAGCCCCTCAGAAAAGACGATTCAGCTCCCCCCCGTCGATCTTACCGATCCTACCTTTCCCAGCACATCCATTCTTCCCAGCACACTCCCTCTTCCCAGCACACTCCCTCTTCCCAGCACACTCCCTCTTCCCAGCACACTCCCTCTTCCCAGCACATTCTATCTTCCCAGAACCCTCTCTCTTCCTAGAACACTCTCTTTTCCCAGCACACTCTCTCTCCCCGCCACGAACCCTGGCGACTACATACATACAAGCTGGAGCCCCGTCTACGCCCACACAGCCAAGGTATGTCCCGATAGATGATCCACCTCTCATCCTCGACGGGCCGAGATTCGAAGCTCGGAGGACATGCTCCGAGCCGGGACCTCACGAAAGGCGCCAGCTCCGAGATCTTGTGGATATACAAGCTGACTTCAATCCAGTGCGACGGCTGCCAGGAGCACAACACCTCCGTCGTCCAACGCTGCGACCGCTGCAACCTCCAATACTGCAAAGATTGCATGCACAAGGCCGTGGATACGAAGAACCACAAGTATGACAGTGCGCAGCTGGACTGGAATGTCTCTTCTGCGCCATCGACCTCCAGAGGGAGACGAGTTGCTCTGCCGCAACCGAGTGGGACTGGTACCCAGTCGGGTGCTGGAAAGCTTAGGTTGAAGGCTGCCAAGCGGAAGATTAAGGTGAAGATCCCGGAGAGGCTCATGTCGGAGGCGGAGAAGTACGATGCTACCAAGCCCCTCAAGGTTCAAGAGTATGTTGTCTTGGAGGATGACAACGATGACTCACTGACCACCAAACCCTCGGGCAGTGAGGCTCCTGCTACTAAGATCCTCGGCGAAAATAGCCAGGTTGCGTCCCGGGTCAAGACTCATGGATATGATCATGGGGATGGCAACAGTGGCCTATTTACTGACTCGAATTCCTCTGGCAAGAAGCGTCCTAACCCTGGCAGCTTCGGCGCTGATAGCCAGGCTGCTCCAAAGGGCAAGATTCGTCGCTACAACGAATATGAGGATGAAGGCGCTCCTCACCAGATGGGGCCCTCGTCGAGATACGACCACCCCTCTCACTTTAGCAATGATCTAGGCGCCATTACAAGCAGTTTCAAGCGTCCCCGCTACACCTCACCCTACGTCAACGGCAACGGCAACGGCCACGGCATGGCCACCACGTCCGCTGCTCAACACCAAACGTCCACTCCCGACCACACCTCCACACACAACGCACGCCTCAGCAGATACTCCGGCCCCGGCTCATCCAGCCCGCAAGCTCCTCCTCGGCCCTCGGCCCCGGCCCTCTTCGAGGTGGCTCACCCAGGCCACTTCTGCGACGCCGCCAACCTCCGCCGCACCGCCTCGACCCTGAGCGCGGCCAGCACCTTCGGCAACGCCATGACGGCCGTCACGCACAGCAAGGCCGCGCTCGAGGCCCTGGGCGCCCAGCGCGCGGCCTTCGCAAAGGAGTGCAACGCCGCGTGGAACGAAGAGCCCCAGCTGCTGGAGCTGAAGGCCAAGGGAGACATCGACGAGGCCAAGGAGCTCTGGATGGCCGCTGCTCAGGTTCGTTTGCCCCAGTCCCAGTCCCAATCCTAATCCCACCCTCGCCCTCGCCCGCTCTTTCTTTCTTCGATTCCTCCCCAGAGTGGAGCCCCTTACTGACTGGCCACCCTCGCATCAAACCAAAGATATTGTACATCTCCCGGGGCCTTGGCTCTTGACAGGCGCAGCGTGTGACTGAGCCAGCCGGCCGATTCATTCATCCACTTTCACCTCCCCACAAGACTTCGATCCTCCTCCTCCTCTGTTTTTTTTTTTCCTTTTTTTCCTTTTTTCCTTTTTTGCATTCCTCTTTCCCTCTCAGATGATTTGTCCCCCGCTGAGTTTTCGACTTTTTCGCGGCGTTTGAGCTCGAAGTTGCTAGCGAGGAGGTAGGCCGGAAAGAAACAGGTTGGGACATCATCGATCCCTTTCTTTGTACTGCGCTGCGGCGCTGCTGCGCCGGTTTCATTCGAGGCCGAGGAGAAAGAATTACGAGCGAGGATTACCTTCTTGCGGTTGTGGATGTAGGTAGAAGATCAATCAATACCATGAGTTCTTTGGGGCGGGGTTAGAATTTAGAATTGTGGTTTTGATGGTGGCTCTGTGATGATGTAGAGCAGTGCGTGCTGCTTGGGATCAACGTCGATCGGCTTGGGGTGTTTATAGTTATATCAAAAGACTTTGGTTTGAAAAGGAGCCCCGCTTCCCCCCTTCCCCAAAAGAAAGGACATTAGGCATTGGAATACCTAATGCCCGTTCGAGACCATACGAATGAACCAGCAAGCAGAGGTCGTCGTCGTTGAGAATGTGGGTCTTCTCGCTTCTGTCTTGGCGCCCTTGCTCCTTCCTTCCCTAAATATTCTCACTCGCCTCTCCTTCTTCCTTCTTTCATCTTCCTCATCAGAGCAAGCAAGCACGTTTATTTACTACCTATTCCCCTCCTAATCGTCGGAGAATGGATAGCGACCTCTTGAAAACTTACACACCCATTGTCTGAAATCTTTAAACATGATATGTTCTTCATTATCGCCGTCGAATCCCTCTTTTTGCTCCTACCCCGGGAGCAGGATGCGGCGGCCAGGCCGCTATGCGGCAAACCGGCTTCTTTTCCTACTCTTGAGCTCTTGACGACGTCGCTCTCTCTCCAGAACCATGCTGCTGCTGCTGCCGGTGGCTCTTTCGGGTTGCGACTGGATGGTGGCTGTGGACTAGGAAATAGCAACATGGCGATGATTTTGGCACCGTCGTTCGATCAAGCAAAGCACTGGATACCCGATCTCGACACCCGACGAGACGATGCTTGGTGGTGCCCGAGACCTGGGAGGTACGACGAGATTTGATCCGGGGGCAAAGGTCAGATACCTTTTGTTTCAACATGGGAAACATCTTTCCGGGATCGAGGGACTGGAGCCGGAATCGGTCCATCTTCCTGGCTGCTGCTATTGCTGGGAGCAATGAGGATTCCAAATTCTGGAGGGAGGGAAATGTGACAAAATCACAAGGCGTATGTATGTATTAGTTCTGATATGAGCAAGTTCTGGATCCGACCGCGGCAGCCAGAGTGGTGAAACCTTGTGGAACTGTTGCGATCTGGACCTACGGCGAGTCTCACCACATGGAACGTTTATTGTCATTCGCTGAATACCTTGCAGCTTCGAATTCCTCAACTCGCCGCATGTATGTTGCTGCAAGTTCGCTGGTTGTTCCATTTCGTTCTCGCTCATTATCCGACATGGCTCGCTAGATCTGTCGACGCCGAATGCCGCTGAAATCATGAAAGTGCTCCTCCGATTTGATCAGAGACAGACTGGATTTCTGTGGATATGTACGACGACTTTACCTCTACCTTGGGACGTGGCGACGCCAGTCACAGCCTTCCCTGTCAGACACCAGGACGTCAGGGATGGCGTCTTGAGTAACGGTCTATCTTACATCCGGTTAGATCTCTCTCTGATGAGGTTGAGGGCAGTATCAGCACAGCAATTAGTATGAGTGCACGTTGGCGAGCTGCAAATGTTCCCGATCTGGTGGGCACAGGCAAAGACCTGGTGAAAGTAGTTGTAAGGGAGCTGCGAGATGGTAAGGGAGAGCAGGATTGGATAGAGAGCGGAAGTGGAACCGCGATCTTTCTGTTCAAGAAGTCCGCTTGACGCAAGGTCGATCGGCCAATGTTGGCTCTTGCGGCGTCGGTGTAGGCACTGATTCTGGAGACAAAGGCGTTAGTTATGCCTCTGGAGATGTTTGACCTCCTAAGAGATTCGCGCCTCCAACTACTCCGTACAGATTCGATCTATCAGAATCCAGGAAAGCCTTCGACCAACGTCTGCTGTTTCAGCGAAGGACCCACGACCACCTTGCAGTGTCGGGAGGCAACTCGATCGCTCAATCAAGCCTGAATCCCACCTTGCTGGAAGGGTAGCGTTACATTAGCATACATATATCACATGACGAGAAATACCGATCTTCTGGTCACCGAGGCGAAGTCTCGTCTGGTCTCGTCTGGTCTCGTGTCGTCTCTCGTCCGCAAAAGTGCATCCGAAAACGAGGATTTGCTGGGTTTCCGAGTTGAGTCATATATCCAGATATAGTAGCAACACTTTACCACCTTCTCCGGACGATCGCCCTTGCTGGCCAATTGAAAAACCACTATACGCGGACGCGTCAACGCGACGCGTCCGCGACGCGCTCCCACGAAGAAGTAATCTTATTCTCCCGCACCGTCCACTCACAGGACAATGCCCCCCACACGCCTTTCGGCCGAGCCTAGGACTGGGAATACCTTCAAGGGAGAAGGGAGAAGGGGGTAGGGGGAAGGGGGAAGAAGGCATCGCCACAGCTCTGGCTGGATGATGTCAGTGTGGTTAGGTGTAATAGAGCGAAACGAACTCTGCTCAAGGGAGATGCTGGACGTCGGTGATTCTAGTGCCCGCAGGGAGGTAGATGACAATAGTGTCCGCCCGGCAACGCGACTGAGAGCAAGCTTTGATTGTCGTTGCTCCTTGCAGAGCGAGAATAGAAACATGATGCTTGGATCCCGTTCCACAATTGACATGATTGACACGATTGACAACCATCACGGCCGTCCTATCCCAAGACTAGACTGCTCGCCCATCACGAGACACGAGATCCTCGGCGTGCTGGGTGTCAGGGGTACAGCCTACCGACAGGAGCTTTACCTACTCAGTAGTGGCCCTTCCCAGAAGTTAAGAGTCCTGGCTCCCGCCCGTGCCCAGTGCCCCATGCCCAACAAAACTTTCCTTCTCCATCACGTCCGAGAACCTGCATCCGACGCCCATCAACACGCAACTCCAACCGTCAACGCTGTCGCACACAGGAAATAATTCGCGATAGAAAATACACCTTACGGTTCCCGCTGACCACGGCTATTCATTCCATCCATCCAAACGACAAGATTGTGTCGTTGCGCCAGCCCGACGACTCCCGGCGCATCCATTGCGCACCGTCCCCGCCGCATCGAGTCTTCCGATCTCCAACGCGCGAAAGCATCATCACATCACATCACCACCGTCTCACACATCAACCGCAAACATGTTGATGCCTTCAGCCCTCGGCTGCGAATCCTCTCTCCATGCCCCGAAAACCCGCTTCCAGTCCGCCCTCTTCGCGTCGCCTCCGCTCTCGCCGTCGCCGCCCTCCACCCGCCCCGCCATCAACAACCTCTACTCAACGTGTCGCGCGCTACAATCGATGCTCTCCCCACCCAACCAACTACCCTCCCCACCCACCAGACACGCCGAGCCGCCGTCCTCGCCCGTCAAGCTGCGTCTGCGTGCGCGGAAAGGTACGGAGGAGCCGACGACGGCGCCGACGCCGCGGCGGAAGATCGCGAAGCGCAGCGCTGCGGTGCCCCCCCGCGGACTCCATAAGCGGAGGAGAGCTACAAGCGACGAGATGACCCGCGACGATAGCACGGAAGAAGAAGAAGAAGAAGAAGAAGGAGAAGGAGAAGAAGCGAGCGGGGAGGAGGAAACCGTCCCCTGCGATGGCCGACCCAGCACGCCCAAACGGATGCGCCTCGCGCCGGAAATCATCCCCCTCGGGCTTGAACGCTCCGACTTCCACGATCTGCGGCTCCAGGAGATGGCGTCGCAGGCCCAGGGTGACCCGGGCCCGGTCACGCAGAGTCTCGAAAGGTCCGGGTTCGGCCTGGCCCGGGGGCTGAATCCCGAAGAGTGGTCGATGGAGGAGGATCGCTTGCTGGTGGAGCTGGTGCTGGAGAAGCTGAAGCTGACCAAGAGCGATTGGCAAGAGTGCGCGCGGAGCCTGGGCAAGGATCGGGGGAGCGTTGGGAGGAGGTGGAAGAGTCTGATGGGCGGCGGCGAGGTTGGGCTGAAGAGGAACCTGCCTCGGAGGGCAAAGCTTCATGGGACCTGGCGATGATACTTGCTCGTCCTCACTCCGCCCTCTTCTCCTCTTTCTTCATGCTCCTTTTGGCATACTTTTGTTTTTTTCGGGGGGTTGTGGGGGGAAGGGGGGGGAG